GATCCAAGTTCACCCACAAGGCTCCTGCTTCCAAATAGCTTGGACAAGGGACAGGAGGGACATGATGGGGTGAAAGCACCAGGATCTCTCCGTCCCCCAGCACAGCTCTGCAGCCACCCTACACCCAGCTTCTCAGAAAACTGAGCTTAAAAACCAGCCAGGGCAACTAAGCAGCAGTGGATTTGCCACCAGCCCCACTCAAATTCAACAGTTCAAATGCTAAGGCACTGGACAGCACCAGCAGCAGTTTTGCACAGCCTAATCCTCACAGCTGGTTCCCTCCATGGGGCCATTTACCTGGATGAGACATTTGATTTTTGGTCCTGGCATTTGTCAGAAAAAACCCACTCTGGCTCCTGAGGCTCATTTCACACCCCTCAGCAGCACCAGGAGAGCAGCAGCTCCGACCACACAGCTGCTTCATCCTCTGACCCAGGACCACACCATGTCCTGGGCAGCTGTTAAAGCTCTTCCTCCACTTCAATCTGAGCCACTAGCTTGAAGCTACACAGAGCTACACCACCAGAGCAGGCAGAAAGCCTGAGCGTATAGGACCTATTGAAGTTTTGGGAAGTGCAGGTACATGTACCAGCACTGCAACTCTGTTGCTCTGTTAAAAACATCAATTCACATCCCAAACAAAGAGTTGGGAGATATTCCACTACTTACAAAGACCATTAAGCCAAGCAGCATCATACCCCGAGATAAACCTCCAGCTCTTTCCTCTGCACCAACAGTGATTTTTTTTTCCCTTTTCTCTTTCCTTGCTAGCTCATGCACAGGAGGCAATATTCAGCTTTTAATTTTGCACTGAATCAGTCCCCCACACTTTTACTACAGAGATAAAATCGTGACAAGCAGGATTATGGTCTAAAGACTGACAGACCCTGTAGAACTGTGGCAAAACCTGTGCCGCAGAAGGATCTTAGCCTCTCTTCTTAAAAAGAGCTGAGCATAGTTCCTTTCAGCATTCATTTCTTTTCCATTCTGGCTAGTAAAAGGTATTTCTCAGTCATACTAGCAATGAACATCAAGGACAGGGATGATGAATGTCTTCTTGCAGGAGGAGCAGCAGCCTCTGGAACCTACCAGCAGCAATTGGCTGCTTCTCATCCGCCTATTGGACAGTTTTAAAATGCAGTATTACTCAAATTAAGAGGATCTTGTCAAATAAACACACTCCACAAATCAAAGCCCATTATAACTAGCCCAGTACTACAAGAATTACTAATTCAGGATTTCCACTTGAGTAGACTTTGGGTGTATTTGGCACAGGGAATGCCAGAAACAAACTGCAGCCTTCAAGCTCCTGGTTGGACCCATACCACCACAAGGAACCAGCCAATGCTCCTCTGTCAATGCTTTGGCACTCACAGATAAAGGTATCCAGCCAGTTTCACTGCCTGAGTAATACCTTAGAACATCTCCATGTCCCACCACCTCCGCAGATGATCCATAAAGCAGCCAGGGTGAGTCAGACCATTCATCTCAGGCTCTTCTGCAGGATCAAGATCTGACTCCTCATTGACAAGGAAATTTGAGGGCTGTGGTCTGGGGAACCTCCACCTGAAAAGGAGTCACTGCCTTGGAGGGGCAAGACTCACCAGCTTAAGATCAGCTGAGGCACCAAACCCATGCAACACCCCTATCCTACAACAAAACCACCACCTCTCCAGACAAATAACTGTTGAGTTGGAGCAAACTCCAAGATCAGTGCATTGCTGAAGCCCTTCAGCGCAGGTGGGAAGGTGTGTTTGCTCAGGGATTTGCTGCCCAGGGGTCTCCTATGACCACGCAGGGCTGGGGGTACTACGGGGATCCTGCCGTGCTCCTGAGTGGTAGCACACCCAGCTCCTTTGGCTCAGTTTGACCCCCTGTAACACCATAATGGGCATCCCAGCACACTACAAACAAACAAAAACTGCCCTGCTGCACTGCCCAACATATCCCCCTGCTCTCCCCCCCCCCCCCCCCAAAAAAAGGCACTCAGTGATAACATAGCCACATGCATGACCCAACAACCTTCCCAAGACAAAGCAAAACCAGCTCCAGCTCAAAAGCCATCACACAAAACCTCACAGCACCCCAATATCAGGGCTCCCAGAGCAGCATCAAGAGCTCAGTCCAAGCACAGCCCAGGTGGAAAGACTCCAGCACCCTCCTGCCAACGGACTGCTTTCATTTCTGCCATTAAAATGGCACCACCCCATATGGACCTTGAAAGAATGAGAATAGAGAACATGCCACTTACCTCTGGTGGTGGGAGACCATGACTGTTCCAGGACAGAGAAAACCACATCCAGAAGACACAGGAAACTCCCCAAAAGGTAAAGGATTGTGCCATCCTGATTTTATAGGGGCTGGGGCAGATGAGCAAACACCCACAGCTGTGGGTGTAGGCACATGAGAGACCCATTGGGTCATTAGCAAAACCCAACGATGCCCAGCTGCTCTGGCAAACCCTGGCAGGGAAATAATTGTTCTTCCCTGCTGTAAGCACGCTCCCTCCACAGCCACCCCGAGGGCTGCTCCAAGTGCCAACTTAGTCACCCAGCAGCCCCCAGGTTCAAGCCTAGTGTGGGGGATCGCATGGGGGAGGCTTCAGCTGAGCTTTGTGAGGGTCCAGCGTGGATCTCAATGGCTTAGAAGTCCTAAAGCATCTTTAAAGGGTCCCAAGTTTGAATGATTACAGGAAGGTATTAAAGGGAAGAAATGGGACAGAAAAGAATACTTGATGTCTTATTGCACTGCCTCGCCATAAAATCCTTTTTTATTCCCTTTAAAGCCTTGCTGTCAAGTGAAATAAAACTCCAGATTTATTCCTGGGGAAGTGCATGAGGAGTAAAAAAAGAAAAATTAAACACAACCAGTGGATTGCACAAGGGAAACCCCAAAGTTAACCCTCAAATTTCAACCCACAAAAATGCTTTTGCTGATGCAAACCCAGAACACAGCTGAAAGGCACCCGACCAGCCCAGCCACACTGCAAATACAAAGAGTTAAGTCAGGGAAAATTGATGGCATGTGAATGACAGGCTTCTGTATGCACTGCGACGAGGTCTTTTGTGGGTGGTATAAAAACAAACAACAGTGTCCATTCTTGGTGCTATTTTGTCCAAAATATGGAAGAAGCCAGTAGGAAGTGAAAAATGAGGGCACTGCTGCAACCGTGAGTGCATGTGAGGAGGAGGACAGGGAGTAAGGCAGCAGCCAGCTTGGCATGTGAATGCAAAACCTTCTGGGTGGTGCTGGGAAGTGCCATGAAAGAGAAAAGGAAACAGGGAGAAGCAACTCAGCTTTTGGCTGGTTCTTCCCAGTTAAAATGAGGACAGTATTAACAAAAACCTCTTAAAAAATCCCCCAAACATAAAAACGGCCTCTTGACCAACCGCATGAAAGTGATACAGCAAGTGATGTAGGTGGTACAGCAGGACACACCAAATCTAAGCCAAAGGGGATAAAAAAAAACCCTGCAAAGCTCTTGAAAGCTGGCTTTAAACGATAGTGACATGTTTTGACACCATTCTCTGACAACAATGGCTGTAACACAAACAAAAATTAATGATGTCAAGTATTAATACTGATGCTGCATGAACTCAACCAATGTGGTCCCAATTAAATATCAAGTATGGTTATAATTTGAAAAATGACTGTGGAAATGTCATTGCAACATTCCCTGCTCACGTCTCTCCCCAACATCCACCCCAGGTCTGTGTGTTTCCCTGGTGGGATGCGGTTCGCTCCCTGGAGGGACATGGTCCTCACCTTCCTCATGCTTGTGGCTGCTGTAGAAACACCAATCCATCTGCTGAAATGCCTGACCCTGACATGTATTAGGAGGGCTTTTTAATAATAAGTTTACATCCTATTTTACTCTGTCTCTGAGTTTTGAGCCGTGGAGGAGGTCTCATTGCATGTTTTTTTCTGCAAATATGAGGACTACAAAAACATCATTCTGTAACATTGAAAGCTGAGGTGCTTCTGCAGTCACCAGACTCCAGAGGCTGGGACTTTTTGAAAATCAGATGTATAGGGATTTGTAATACAAGTCAAAGACTTGGCAACACTAGTCACTGGCAATAACTAATTACTAACCAAGCGAAGCCAGACAGCGTCCAACCTGCTCATGCAAGTGCATGGGTGCTACAGTGCTGACAGTAATGAAGCTCACACAGAAGTCAGCAAAGTGCCTGATTTTATCCAGGATTTCCAGAGAGAGTAAATCAGCCAAGACAAGCTCATTTGACCAGGACTTCTTTTGGCTGTGACTGCTCCTCAGAGCAAATATATTCTCCCAAACAATTCTGTATCAGTTTTATTGCCTGGATGACAGACTGGGAGATCTACAAGACAAATCTGCACGCAACTCATCCAACTCACCTCCGCCTTATTTCCAGTTACTGGAGAGGTTCCCAAAATTCAGGCCATGCTACGGTCATGCCCAACTGCGGACCCACCCAACCATGATTTGTCCAAAACCACCATTTGTTTCTCAACCGTCAAACGTGTCCAGGAGATACCTGACTCACAGACAACCCCCATTCAAGGCTGATAATGCAAACTGGTCCTACTAGGCCACGGTCTATTCTGCTCTTCCCACCAGCACTGATACCCATTGATTTGCACTGATAACCATTAATTTGCACAAATACAAACATGCGCGCTCATCTTCAGGATGTCTCTATCATGTTTTGTGTTATCAGAGAGATCACAGAGCCCTGAGCAAGAACAGGTATGGGCAACTTTCCTCTCACCTTCTCTGTTTGCTCCCTGGCTCTCAAACTGACCTCACTTACCGTCCTCTTGGAGACAACTGCAGCCCTCCAGCAACCCATTTACTGTTTTTCTAAGGGTCCTGGCTGAGATGGGAGACAGCGGTCACCCCTGTGGAAACTCCCACTGACTGCAGAGCTCCCGAGCAGACACTGCTGCAGACTTCAGTCGGGGGTGGGGGGGGGGGGGGGGGGGAAAAAAAATCAAGTAAACCCCCCCCCATAATGCGAATACTTTATTATCAATGAGTGACTGGTATTAGCTTTTTGTCTGGGTATTAATAATATTTCAAAAAACCATACATCAAAATTAGGGCTTTCTCCTATTTTTGCTGTATAATTTTTCTTTTTAAAAAAAATCTGTATTGAAAGAATTATATAAGCCAAAGTGCATTTTCTGGTTTTTGTCCATATACACATTGCACCATACATAAATAATTACATTGTAAAAATGACTCCATAATTACAAGTATAATATATATTTTCATATAATATATAAAACTTTATATTAAATCTAGGTAGATGATATTTGGGATAGTCTGTGTCTTTTCTTTCTTTTTCCTTTTGTCAGAGGCTGACCGTTATCGATTGTTACTGAGTAAAATCTCCAGCCAACAAGGACATGACGTGATAAACTGTCTCGAGTAACACGGCCCCCAGCCTTTGGCGAAGCTAATCCGCACGCTGTTCGGGTCGTAGGGCCCGTCCGCGTAATCCAGATCGGCTGTGTGCTGCAAGAGGCAGGACTTCTCGTAGTCAAACACCTTGATGGAATAGCCTGGCATCACCTTGCGCACTATCAAAGTCCTACAGTTGGGGATGTCCAGTGTCGGGGAGTTGACGAAGATGGGATGCTCGCTGCGGTTGTAAGCCCACACACCGTCCGGTTCTTTGCTAAGTAAAATCCCGTAGCCGATTTTACTTCGAGTCCTTCTCACAGTCTCGCTCCTGTTTTCTAGGTTTAGCTGTCCGAGGCAGAAGCCGTTTCCTTGAGGTAGGTCATAAAATATACTGACAGACTGTTCGTACACTGTGTAGAGGCGGCCGACGCGCGTCCGGTGCTCCCAATAGGCCACATTACACCAATGGCTCCTCTTCACGGCATCAGGCGATGTACTGGCATCTGTGGGGGAAAGCAGAGGAAGAGTCAGGGTTTGCTGTGACCGCCTGGGAAAAGACAGGTATGGAGGGTGAGCAAATGGCTCTTCCCACCCATCGGCTTTGCTCACATGGGAACTGAACTTGTGTTCAACCCAAAGCCCGTCTTCAGCTTAAAGCTAGTGCTCAGCTCAAAGCCCATGTCCAACCCAAAGCCTTGTCTCCAACCCAAAGCTCATCTTCAATTATGTCAAATGCCACCAAGAAAGAAGGCTCAAGCAAAGGCTGGTGACCCAACGGGCCACCCACCAGTTCCCATGCAGCTCAACACCTCTTCCTCTCTCTGATTTAATATTCAATCCTGCGTCCAGCAGCTGGGATCCTGTGTACTCAAGGTATGTGCATTTCTACACCAAGAGCCGGCACGGATACTCTACCACTGCAACTCAGCCACCCCTGAGCTTGGCGGGTCCCCAAGAGCCTGCACCATTGCTGTGGTGGTGTACCCCCATCTTCAAAGGCCAACTTGTGTTGATCTGAAAGACAGGGGATGTCCATGAAGTGCTTGGATGACTGACCTGACAGTTATCTCTGCTATGTAATATTCTTTGACAGCGATGCTGATGTTCCCACGGGGAACATGAAATCTGAGGAGGCATTTCGTGCCAAGGGGGAGTAGTTGCTATGAACTATACATGTCCTCCTACAAAACCATTGGAACTCTCTCCAGAACAATGAGAAATGTCTCTTCTTTCTAGGAATTACATTCAAGGAAGACAGGAGTGACGCAGGCTGCCAGAAATCTGTTTAATTTATGATGCCTCCAGAATTTATGATGCCTCCAGAATTTATGATGCCTCCAGAAGGAAGATGGGAACTCTCAGCCCTGAAAGAGCCCCGAAGAGGGTGAATTAACCTCTTCCTCAACATCGTTCCTGCTCCTACCATACCGGTTAACAGAAAACCACCCTGGGATTTCAAGCAAGGAGCTTTGCTTCAAGCCAGCCCTGTTCCATGCCCAGCATTAAGCTCCCTGACAATATATCACGCGCCTGCAGCCTGCTGACCCCTCTGCCTTCGTGCCATCATGTCCGATTAACTTGCACGCGGGGTGATGCCATTATTTTGCTTCAGAGACCCTATTGATGCACCGGATTTCAAGCGCAACCCTACAGCCCCGTTTCTTTTCAGGCTCAAATTACCCCAGAGGGGAATGGGCTCTCCTCCCCATTAACGATTTTTGAATTAAGCGGCTTTGTTAGAGTTTAACTTGAGTTGTAACTATACAAATTTAAGGGGAGGGAGATGGGGGGAAGGGGGGGTAATTGGACAAGCAGGGAGGCAGCAGGGCCAGTGGGATGCCCTTTGCCACGGGCAATGCTCATCATCTTGCACCAACCCCTTCACCCATCACAGGTCTAAACAACCCCCAAAATGCCAGATTGGGCCCCTTCTCCCCCATCATCTGTTTAAATAATTTTTAGGACCCAGCACAGCCGCTAATAGTCCCTTTTCGGTTTGATGTGCGTTTCATCCAGAACTGGGAAGGAAACCTCGCAGCAATCAGACACTTCAACCCCACTGGGGAAAAGAAACACCATTTCCCTGCATTTATGGCAATCCTCCATAGAGGAGCGAGCCAACAGCTTCGTGCCCCCTAATACTGGTGATGTCCTGGGCCTCCTAAAGGCATGAGAAAAGCCCTGCTGAACACAACTGGGTGAGATGCGCCCCTTAAATTCAGAGTTAGTGGCTCTGCACAGCAGGGAAATGGGTGAAGACCCTTGGTCAAAGCAACAGCAGCATCCTGGAGCTGCGTGAGGCAAACCTGGGTTTCTTTCCCCCAGGGACCAGGTCCTGTCCCCCAGCTACAGCAGGGTGAGACACTCCACCATGGCCCAGTGGCACCGATGGGTCTTTCTATCTCTGTGCTTCTGAGCCACCCTCAGTGGAAACCACTCAGAGTCACTCTGTAATAAGCCCATCCTAATGCTGCACTCTGCTAACGACAAAAATCAGCAAAACCAAAGGTTTTTCCCCATTCTTACTCTTTGGCCAGTAACTGTACTTCCTTTGCCATCTCAAATGACCCTTCCGCATCCAGATCACCAGGAGTTAAATGAACAACCCAACTTGCTCCGACTTGCTAATGACTTCATCTGCAAGTGCATGATGGATATGTTGTACCCAAGCATGTCATTAAATACTGACGACTGGACTTGACTCTTCCTGAAGTATCTCACGATGCCTTGCAAAGCATCAGCCACGTGAACATGAAGTTTTAGGGAAGGAAGAGAAGATTCAAATGTAATTCTGAGTTAGAAACACCCCCAGCTGCCTAGTGCCAATATGGTGCACTAAGATCTCCACCAGGAACAGAAACTATGCAGTATTTCTGCAGCAGTTGCAAAAATGACATTAACCAAGGTTATGGCATTAACACAAATCTGACCCAAACAGTCTTATCTAATTGAACATTACTGAGGCAAGACCATCTTTAGCTACATCTGTACAAAGCCCTGAAATCAACAACTTGGCAAGGACAAAAATCTTTTGACCTGCTCCAATAACATCCCCTGGTCTACCACCATGCAGATCATCAGTGCATTTTGCTCTTTAAAATGCACTATGGCAAATTGTTCCAGATTTTCTTTTACGAGGTGAAACAAGATGTAGTTCATAAATGACACAACAGCAGAAAAAGAAGAGGTACTGAGCAACTGAGCTTCATCTGCAGGTACATCTTCCACAGCATCCAGTTTCTACAATCATCTTTCCCCTGGGACATCATACAGTTGAGATGCTCTCAGTGCCTTTCCAAAACTCTTCTCAAATGCTAAATTTTGCTGCTGCGCCACTCGAGTGATGCTGGGGGGCTACAGACAAGCTCAGAGCTTTTCATCTGCCAGGCCCGGAGGCTGGTAGCGATTACCGAGCTCTGCATCTGTTTAACCTCCCCACCTCCACAAAGCCCTGCATGCCCATTAGGCAAGTTGGTTTTGTTATTACATTTTTTAGGAACTACCACTCGGCCCCCGAATTTCCCATACAGACTAAGAATTGGACAACTTAAAAACTAAAGTTTCCTCATCAGCTGAATTAATTAGGGGAACAGTCAGCAATAAACATTTAAATAGGTGTTTCCCATGGTTTATTGCAAATTAACATACCTAGTGGGGAAAAGCAAAGCAGGAAGAAACCAGTGTCTATTCTACAAGAACATCTTGCTGTAGGTGCCACCATCCCTGCTGCCATCTCTGCTTTCCAGGAACTGGCAAGTATTTTGGCAAAATCATCTATCTATATGCATACTGAAAACAGGGGAAGGTTTTTTTTACACCTCCTGCTTTCGTGCATCTGAAATAGCCTTCTTAAAATCACTTCCATGCAATTTATGGCATGAGCTTCAGTCCATCCATATGTGCACACATCTCGGGGGGTGAAATCCCTCCTGCCAATGAGCTTCTCATCTCTGTCACTCCGTCACAGCTCCTGCGCGACACTGCCAGCTCTGCCAGCTCGAAGCACTCCTGGAGATGTCCTGTGCTCCTTCAAATGGGCGAGGATATGAGTTTTAGGTAACTGCACATCAAGCAGCTAAAAGTTTCCTTTCCACCCCACCTTTCCTGGCCAGGCGCGAAGAAAAGGCTTTCAAAGCCATGCACCAACTGCAAAAGCAACCTGCCTGTGGCCCCCAGGCAAACAGAACACTCCCAAAGGAGATGGTTAAAGGGGACATCTGAAAAGCCTCTGCCTCCGGATTCCAGCAGGGTCCCTCTTCTCCCCCAGTCCCATCCATCGCCACCCTTGCCGGCTGCCCCACTCCCCATGCCGTGGTGGGTTCCTTTGCCTCCTTTTATCTCCCAGTGCACTCAACCAAATCCTGAAAAGATGAACTCATCTCGCAGCCCTGACATAAAGCAAGCACTTTAGCAAGCCCCTAATACAAGGGGGCCTGCGCTGTGTCTTATCCCCTGCCAAGTATTAGTTTCGCCTCCAGCTATTAGCCACTACCACTCAGCAGACAGCAGGGGCGGCCGGCAGAAAAGCATGTCCTCTGCCTTTTAAATAAATATTCCATTTTTTCCTCCTCTTTTTCCACGCTGCCCTTTATGCGCAGACAAGAAAATCCACTTTTTTTCCCTTTCTGCTGGAACAGAGGCAGGCTTGTTAGCTTTCTTTTGAAGAAAGAAAAATATTTTAGTCCTGCAGTGCCTCCCTCGATGGTATACCACGCGTTTTTAACAACTATCATTGTAGGCAGCTACAACTTCTAACAGCTACATTTAGGCTGGCGTCAGGGCTATCTCTTCCATCAAAGCCACCTTTATCGATCAGATAGACAGGCTGAAACTCTGGCTCTTGTTTACTCGTTCCTCCGAGTTGCCATTTCCTCCGTTGCACCAATGCCTTGCAGCAGACACATCCAAAAGGAAATTCAAACAATTTAAGATAAAAAAACAAGATAGGAAGCAAGATGGAGAATCAAAACCAGAACTTAATGGGAAAAGTTTCTTGCATGGTTCAGGCAAAAGGAATCTGGGTACAGGCATAAATGCAAAGAGCAAATACTGTAAATCCTCATGGCGTTAGCAGCACTGCTGCTTTTGCCCCCTGCAGGGTGCGGAGGTAAAGAAAATAACTTGAGGTTTTAGATTATTTGTGATATGACAGTGTTTTGTGCCAGTAAAGTTCAAAGCAGTGCATTAAAAGAGAAAAGAAAGATGCTTTTTTCCAAAACAAAATGCCGCACAGTCCTACTGCTTGATGTTGCACTTAAAAGCAGGATGGAAAACACGGGCAGATCACAAAACACATGAAATCTCTCTGATTCATGCTTCGGCTCTTCTGAAGCCACCAAACCTCTTCTCAGCAGGTCAAATGGCCCCCACAATATATGTCTGCAAGTAAGATCTTGCTGCGTAAGGAAACAGGGGTGAGAAGGGAAGTTTGCTGCAGTGCTTTGAGGATTATTCCCATTTTTGCACGGACTCCTGAGGAAACAGTCAGAAGTGGCACCATGTT